CTGGACGTTCAGGATGCGGATCTCTGGAATGGGGCACCACCTGGACGGAGATCAACGGTACGCGGGAGAAGGAGGAGGAGGAGGAGGAGGAGGAGGAGGTCGAGGAAGTCTGGAAGAGGTGGACGCATGAGACATAACGCGAACCGTGGCAGTGTGCAAACAGCTGTGGTGTTGGCGACGTGTGCGATAAGACAAGCGTGGGATAAGACACGTTTGCGCGAAAGGATTCCGACAAGCGCGGGGTTGCCTGCCGAAGGCATGTGTGAAACGCTTTCAGCCCCACAGCCTGACAGGGCTGAGTTGCGAGAAGGAGCAAGAAGAGGATGACGACGACGACGACCATGATCAGAGAGGACAGACGAGGAAGGAGAAAGGAGAGGAAGTGGCGGCCGGTCCCATCCCGCTCGCATCCCCCAGATCCTCTACAAGTACACAATATGAAAACTACTCTCCTCTCTCCCCTGGTGACGTCCGGGACATGTTCGGCCCCCCTCCGCGTTCTGGTTTTTTGCACACAGGATTCCCTGGAAACGGGTTTTCGCTGTGTTTTCAAAACGCTGCTCTCGCTGAAGCGCTGGCCTCATTTTCGGGCTACCGCTCATTCCGAATCGTGCTCCCGCCGCAGCGCTGGCCTCATTTCCCCGCTTCCGCTCGTTCCGAATCGTGCTCCCGTTGCAGCGCTGGCACCATTATTTCCAGCGCCAAGCCACGGCATGGTTTTCGGTCCTTCCAAATAGGCCCAAAAATCTAAAAAACAAAAATGCCTCCCGAAAGAACCATCGGAAGTGAATACACATTCGGTGTCGATTCGTTGATCCTTGCGCGTCGCCACGTCATACAGGTTCGTCACGCCAGTTTTGAAGAAGGGCGCGAACCAGGACCCGATCATGACCATAGGCAAGAGGACGGTGACGGCTGTGATCGGTAATCTGGGGGGCCTCTCCGACCTCTCCCAAGCGACGCCATGGATGCAGGAGCGATTGAAGTCTTTGGGAGCCCCTCCCCCAGGGAGGTTACTCAGGCACCATCTTCGCCGAGTTCGGGACGACGCTGTAGCGTGACAGCGCGGCCGAATTCCTGCGGGGAGCTGGCCTTCGGAGCGGGGGGAAACGGATTTGGGCGAACCAGGACCGGTCCCCCATCGAGCGCGCCGCCCGAAACTTCTGTTTCGGCCTGAAGTACATTCTCAAGAACGCCTGTGAGGTGCGGTAAGTACACAATATCGCGGAATCCGACGAGGCTCCCTACACCGTCACCAGTTGAAGGGAGCACGCTCTGACGGCGAGCGTGGCGCAGAACGGAGTCGAGTACGTTTGGCAAGTGGAGAAGGAGTCATGGGCGGAGCTGCATGAGCATCCACTCGTCAAGGAACTCCGGAGGAAATCCGACGACCTGGTGTCCCGCGCGGTGAAGGACACGAAAGGCGCCAAGGGCACCGCGAAGGGCGACTACAAGGGGAAGCAGACCGGCGCCTGCTGGGCGTCCAAGGGAATAGGAAATTGCCCCCCCGAATGTTTCACCGGCACCGGCAGTCGGCAATACTGCCAATATGAGCCCACATGATTTGCGAATTCACGACGGCATGCATGCACATACTGAGGGCACGGTTGGCCGCGACAGCGGCTAAACAGAAGATTTCGATGACAGTGGTGGGCCGTTGCGCCCCTGATCGAAAGACGTCGTATTTGGACCTTGGAACATGGAAGGGCTGACAGAGTCCAAGATCGAAGAACTCCAAGAGCACATGCGGACCTTTAACGTAGATACTTTCACAATCCAAGAGACTCACAAGCCAGAGTTAACATATAAGGTCACTGACTCTGGTTATATTTTGGAACTCTCTGGAGACGCGGACGACCAAGAAACAGCGGGGGGTGGATTTCTCATATCTCCAAGGATACGTACAAGCATCATCATATTCACAATGGTGTCGTCGAGGGTGCTGGTGGTGAAGCTGCGCGCTGCGGGGGCAAGGTGCCGATTTTCAGCATATACGCCCCGCATAACGGCAAACCCCACGAGGTCAGAAGAGAATTCTACCACACTATTGGTACCCTTCTCCGATGCATCTCTGGACATGGAAGGCCAATACTTCTCGGGGATTTCATTGCGAGGCTGCACAGGCAGTTCCCATGCGATTCACCGCACATTGGGCCGTACGTTTTCGGCTGCCCGTCGGCACAGCAGGATCAAAATTCTAGTCGCAGTCTGCTGCTTGAGCTGTGTGGGGCACACGGGCTACACCACCGGCTCGAAGCATTCTGATCCAGCTCGTCCAGAACATGTTGGCCAAATCGATGTTCTGCGTTGCCCTCAGGGCTGGCAGTCGTCTGTCAGCGATGTTCGCATTCATGAGGATGCGGCCCTTGCGTCGCACCATTTCCTGCTCCTCTGCTGCGTGCGCCTGGACGTCGAGAAAACCACACGGGAACGAAACGAGAAGCCGGACTTACATGCGTTGTCTTGCAGCAGTGTGGTGGACGACTTCAACGCCACATTCTCAAACAAAAAGGCAGATTTTGATTCTGACTGGTGTACTTTAAATGAGTTGAACACAGCGATAGTTGCTGCCTTCAAACACGCTGCTGGCGAGTGCCTGCCTACAGTTCCAGTGCCTACCATGGATCAGCAATGCGACTTTGGAGCTGATCACGCGCAGAGGGGATGCAAGGAGGGCCGGAGATGTTGACAGAGAAAAGCGACTTCACGACATGATCAACGCGTCGGCCAAAGCACACAGAGAGAAGTGGCTTGACGATCTCCTTGCCTCCAGGGATTGGGCTGAGATCCGGAAGCTGCGGAAAGGTTCGGTGGTGCGGCAGGGCCGCATGAAGGACTCGAACGGAAGACTGGTTGACAGCGATCGGAGGGCAGACTTTTCCAAAGTTCAATGGACTGTGCGACCAGTGACAGAGGTCGAACGCGCTTCCCCCAGAGGTGCAGCTCTCCCAGTCCCAGAAGGCCCCATTCTCCCAGGAGAGGTTCGCAATGCTGCGCGAAAGCTGAAGAGGAACAGGTCTTCTGGGGACGATGGCATCCTGGGGGAGTTCTGGAAGGCTGTATGCACGCCGGGTGCTTCGGCTCACGAGCGGGCTAAACTGCTTTGCAACAAGTGCTGGACCGATAAGGCCGTGCCGGATGAAGCAGTCGCCATCGCGCTGTTCAAGAAAGGCGATTCGGCCGAGTGCGCCAACTATCGGCCAATATCATTGCTTCCGATTGGATACAAACTGTACGCCATGTTTCTCCTCGGCCGCTTGAAGGACGCAGGTGCCGAGGACAGAATCTGGGACGCAATTCGGATTCCGATCAATACGCGGCATCACGGACGCGCTGTTCGTTGCTCGCAGGTTGATCGAAGACATCTGGAGTTTTCGTTCTGGCAATCTGGTCCTGCTGGCGCTGGATTGGGCCAAGGCGTTTGTCAGCGTCTCGCCAACCGACCTGGTGCAGGCGCTCGTCCGCTTCGGCATCCCCAAGCACTTCGCCGAGGCAGTTCGACGGACAGATCTTTCCGAATGATGGAGGCGGGCCAGACGTCTGGGCCATGGCCACCAGCCTTCGGCGTCTGCTAAGGCTGCCCATTATCGCTCTCAATCGTCATGACGGTCCTCATGCACGATGCGAGCCGGGCTTTCCAAGCACACGGCTTAACACAAGACGCCAGGATACTCGTTAGTGAACTCATCTACGCCGACGGCGCCTTGGTCGTTGGAGTCAGCGATGATCATGTTTCCAAGCTGATGGAGGCGATCCACTGCGCGGGGTCCAACTACGGGCTTGCCGTCAACTGGAGCAGACTTGAAGCCTTACCAGCATGTTGAGAGACTGCCTTGACGAAGCCAGACGGCGCCCCCCTCCCGAGCAAGGGCAGCATGGTCTGCTCAGGAGGACTCTTGAGCTCCACGGGTCGGAGCGGGCCCGAGATCAGCCGCTGGCTGGGCATGACCAGCGCCGATGTCGAGACACTGTGCCGATTGTGGGAGCACGCGCGGTTGCCACTTGACAAACAGCTAGCAGTTGTTGGCGCGTGTGTAGAATCTAAGTTGCTATGTTGTTTTCGCACTGCTTGGTCTAACAGCGCAGAGCGTGGCAAGATTGATGCTTTGGAGGTGCGTTGCCTGCGCCGGATTTCGGGCATCAAGCACTCGTACATCAGCCGTATTACTGACGAAACTGCTTCACAGCGATGTAGCGATCAGAAACTGAGCGACGTACTGACGCGCAGGCGGTTGAACTTCATGAGGCACATTGCCCTGATGCCAGGGAACAGCCCCGTGCGGAGATGCATTTTCCAACCCGGTACTTTCGAGCTTGTGCAGGCTGGGGCTCGCTGGAGGGATCGGCCCCGCAACACGTGGAAGTTTCAGGTGTACGCCCTTGCTTGCCAGACGGCCAGCGGCGAGGAAGCTTTGCACGCCTTCTGGCACCAAGGGCTGAACGCTTGATTTTGATGTACGAGTTGTACGCTTCTGTTTTTTTTTCAAAAAAAACTGGCTCTAAGGAAGTATTGCGAAAGTTTGCGCCCCGCCGCCTGCCCTCCAGGTGGTGTCGTCGCTCCCTCTTCCGCCGTCCTGCGTCGCTCCTCTGCCTGCTCTCCCTCCTGCTCGTCCCTCGGGCTGTCGCCTGGGCTTCGCCCTCCTCCCCCTCCCCCTTGTCGTCCCCTGTCGCTTGCCCTCCTCCTCCCCCCGGCTCCGGGCTCGTCCTGGACCCCGGGTGTCGTTCCCTACCCTGCCTCCCTGCCGCGGTTGCTCTCCTCGATCGTCCACCTTGCGGGCAATTTTGGCGAGTGGGGTATGCATGACGAGATTGGTAAGCCTTCCCTGTGCGTGAAGCCAGCGACACTGGAGGCTTCGCATCGCCTGTCGCTGATGTTTCACCCCCTGTTTGCCAATGCACCTTTGACGTGCACGGCTTCTCTCTCTCTCTCTCTCTCTCTCTCTCACGCCACGCTTTGTCAGGCTACACGTTGATCTTCAACACCGTGCTATACCATGTAAAACTATGCCCTGCTACGACATCCGACTGTGCGAATAGAGAGAAGATCCATGCCATGGCAAGGGATGGGAGGGAGGGGTAGGACGTCAGATATGACGCGAGCGCACTCAGCTTGTCATCCTCACCTCGCAATTATACTCTTCCTCGTCCTGCTGCTCCTCCATCTCTTCCTCACAGCCAGTGTGGGCTCATTTCAAGTGGTGCAGGTACTCGCAGAGTTCCCGCTGCTGTCTCCTACACATCCTCGTCTCTGCTCGTCCTCCCTCCTCCCTCCTCCTCCTCCTCATCATCATCCTCCTTCCTCCTCCGCCTCCTTGTCCTCGTCCTCCTCCTCCGTCCTCCTCCTACTCATCATCATCATCATCATCATCATCATCATCATCATCATCATCATCATCATCATCATCATCATCATCATCATCATCATCATCATCATCATCATCATCATCATCATCATCATCATCATCATCATCATCATCATCATCATCATCATCATCATCATCATCATCCTCATCCTCATCATCAACATCATCATCATCATCATCATCATCATCATGGTCATCATCATCAGCAGCAGCAGTAGCATCATCACCAGCCTCAGTATCGTCATCACAATCATCATCAGCATGATCAACCTCATCAGCATCAGCATCATCATCAGCATCCTCACCATCATCAGCAGCAGCAGCATCGTCATCATCATCTTCATCATCATCAGCATCATCATCCTCATCCTCATCGTTCTCATCATCATCATCATCCTCATCCTCATCCTCAACCTCATCATCATCAGCGGCAGTACCATCATAATCCTCATCTGCATCAGCATTATCAGATTCATCAACATCTTCCCAATCAGCATCAGCATCATCATCAACAACATCATCATCAGCATCATCAACAGCATCGGCATGATCCTCACCCGCATCCGCATCGTATACTCATCCTCATCCTCATCCTCGTCCTCATCATCAGCAGCAGCAGCATCATCATGTGCATCGTCCGCAGCAGCACCATCAGCATCACCACCAGCACACGCATCAGCATCACCATCGGCATCAGCATCAGCATCTCGATCGGCATCAGCATCAGCATCATCATCGCCATCATCATCATCATCATCATCGTCCTGATCAGCATCCGAATTATCATCATAGTCATGATCGTACTCATCGTCATCAGCATCATCATTCACAGCATCATCACCAGCATCGTCGGCATCATTATCCTCACCATCTTTATCATCATCATCATCATCATCATCATCATCATCAACAGCAGCATCAACATCAACACCACCATCAGCATCATCATCATCATCACCACCACCAACATCATCATCATGATCATCATCCCATTACTTGTACTCCTCATGTTCCTCGTCCTCATGAAACATGTTCCTGCTCCAGGCCGATGCAAGCTCAGGGGAAGCATGACGGGAGCACACATCTTCCCCGCTCCCCCCCCTGTCGGTCCGTCCACCCCCCCGCAGGAGATGGAGGATGGAGACGGGCGACAAAAAACATGGCGACCCGATCCCAGACTTCCTATGGGATCTGGACAGAAGCTACGAACGAGCTCGGCGATATGGGATGGGGGGCGTCTCCCCTCGAAAAGGCATACTCCCGCCCCAGGGGTGCATCTCCGAGTCCCCGTTTCGTTTCTGAGCAGTCATTTTTATCTTGGGGGGAGGTCTCGGGGATTGGGTGGCGAGAGGTCACCTGCGAAGGAAGGAGAGAGCCAGCAGAAGACACCTCACCCACTCTCGGGCTCCCCAGGGGCCCAGCTCTTCCTCCCGAATGGCTCCTTGGACGGCCCCCAGGGCTGGGGGAAGGCCCCACGGAGCCCGAACACGATGATGGAAACCCTCAGGACCCAGACCTCCAGCGATATGATCTTCTCAATCCCAGGCGTTTTTTTTTGATTTCGGCCTCTGGGGCGTTGTCGGGCCTCGGGGCAATGAGCCACGGGTCCAAGACGAAACACTGCCGGGAGCTCTGGAGCTCTGCAGATCAGCCTCGGGCCAGGGCCGATTTTCCATGCCAGGCCTTACAGCGAGCCAGGAGTAGATCCATACCCACCGCATGTGGAACCGACGTCCTGTGAACCCCAGGAGGCGGCGAGTATAGGTATCTCGAGGTGGACCGAATATATCCATATCCACCGCTCGCCAGGGCCCCCGAAGGTCGTACCGACGTCCTGTGACCCGAGGAAGCGGCGAGTATGGATATATGTGGGCCCGAGGTGGCCCGAATATATCCAGATCCACCGCTCGCCAGGGCCCCCGAAGGTCAATCCCTCCGGCGGTGGTTATGGATAAATCCCCGCCTGGGGGGGGGACGGGCTCAGGCCTCAGGGGTGGGGAAACATCGAGGAATCCGCCAACCCTGGCGGCGTGTGTGAGGGGATTCTCCGTTCGAGTCGTCGCCGTCATTCGTTCATCGTCGTCTCTGTTGACCTCGTTCCCTGTGCCCGTCGCCGCTCCTCTCTCCTTTCCTGAGCTCTCCTCCCCAAGCGCGTCAGCCAAAGCAAAATCGAGCAACGTCGTCATAGACTCGAAGAGAAGCCCCTCCCTTTGATCACTCCCTCGCCGGGAGGGGGGGGATCCCGGGTCCGGACCCAGGGGGGTCCCAGGTCAAATGCGCTTTCCCTCCAGGGGCTCCCGGGCCGCAAAAAAGCCTCAGTACGGGCCAAGAGTGCCCCAAAATCTCCCAAAGACAGTCCACGAGGGCCCCGAATCGCCGATCAGTCCACGACGCCTGGACGGCCTCCAGACGGCCCAAGAATCCTGCAAGACGCTGAAAGAGGCCTCCAGGAGCAGTCCCAAGAGTGCCTCAAGAACAAAATCCAAGATTTTCCATTGGTTTTTGAATAATTGCGGCGTTATCGCCTCTCCCGCTTCCCGACGCTCCAAGACGGCCCAAGCGGCCTCCCAGATCGCCCCCAGACAGTCCAAGAGGGCTCTACGAGCGACCCAAGACGGCCCGAGAGAGTCCCAAGACGGCCCAAGACGCCTCCAAAAGGGCCCCTGAGGCTCCCAAGACGGCTCCAGGACGTGCCGAGACGACGGATCACAACGGACATTTCGAGCCCTCCGCCCCGAGTGCTCCCAGGAGAAACCAAGAGGCCCCCAGAAGGTCCACAAGAAGCCCCGAAGAGACCCCAAGACGCTCCCGAGAGGCCCCCAGGAAGCCCCAACAGGCCCCCAAGAGGCTCCCAAGAGACCCCTACGAGGCCCCCAAGAACGTTTCGACCAGACCCCAAGAAGCATTCCTGAGGACTTTGACCCACATCAGCGTCGTCTTCGTCGGCAGCCCGAAGGTGTATACAAAGTAAAGTGGTCCTTAGAGGGGGTCCACCCACCGACGTTTCGAGCCTTCCGCCCCAAGAGGCCCTTGGGAGGCCACAAGCGGCGCCCTAGACGCCACCAAGAGGCCCCCCAGAGGCCCAAGAGAGTCCCAGGAGCACTCCCAAGAGAACCCCAAGAGGGCAAAATCAAAGAGGGTTTCCTCGTCGCTGTCTTCGTCGTCGTCCCCCTGCAGGGTCGGCGGCACCGGCCGCAAGGCCTTCGCAATCGGCGATGTATCGCCGATAGGCAGTCCGCAGGTTCCTCGGCGGGGTGGCCCACCGGGCCAATATCGGCGATCAGTGGACGATTGGGGGTCGTGGTCGATGCATCCCCCCTGCGCCCAAACCCACTAACGTTGCCCCTAACTGTTCCTCTTGGGGAACGCCAGCGAGTGGCCAACACATGCAGCCCTGCCTCCCTCTGCCCTGGTCCGAGGAGGCCGCTCGTCAGAGTTGTAGGCCCGGCGGTGCGGCTGGAGGGAGGCGAGGAGGTAGTCCTCGATCCAGTTCCTGCGGGGAGCACGCATCCGGGGGCCCGACGCGAGCAAGCCCTGCGCAGGCAGACGACCCGGACCCCCCGCCCCACCCCCTCGCGCCGGAGCAGAAATCACGACGGCAGGCCTGTGCTGTGCTGCTCATCTCAGCCTTTCCGGGGACCTCGCTGGCCCCGGGGGACCCTCGAAAAGCGGCTCGGGACGAAAAGCTCCTCCCACCGATGGGTCGAGACCTCCTCGGGCCCAAGCTGTGAAAAACCACAAGACGCATTTTTGTTGCTCGGCGTGTCGCGGTTTGTGGGCCTGGCGGCACGCTGTGCCCTGCGGGCGGATGGCGTGTTTCGCTCCGCTCCGCGGGGCGGAAGGCTCGGAAAAGGCACGGGGACCGGGACTTGGACAGCGTGTCGCGCCAAAGCGCGGGGGGCCAGAGCCGGCGGCGCGACACGCGAAGCCAAAGATCTGGACCGTGTGTTGACAGCAACAACAAAAAAACAAAAATGACGGTCTTCAGAGGTCCGCAGGAACCCGCAAGAGATCGCACAACCACCTTCGAAAGACCTTCGAGCGTCAACGACGTACTAAGACGACAAACGACGACAACGACGACAACGACGACGAGCGACGAAAAAAATAACGACGACGGAGACAACGACGAACGACGACGACGACGACGAGAAACGACGAAGGACGACGACGACGACGACGAAGAGCGACAAACGACAACGACGACGATGATCACAACCTTCGAGAGACGACGATGACGATGAAGATGACGACGATGACGACGACCTATTAAAATGCCTGGGGTCGGTCTTCGGCAGGCCTCTCGCTGAAGGCCGAGCCGGCCCATCGACAAGACGTGCACGCGCACCCTGGCGCCCCGTGTCTGCGCCGCACACAACGGTAAGTTAACTGAGTGAACGGTTAGGGACAAAAAAATTATCCCGGCAAAGCAACCTAACAGCGATGTGTAGGAGCATATCTGGAAGCATTCCCCTTAAGATTCAGATGAGAATCCAGTTGTAGGATTGTGCTGTTCTCGCAGTCGTAGTCGCATTCGCGATGACAGTCGCAGTGGCAACGGCAGTCACAGACACAGCCTCAGCCTCAGCCTGCCTCAGCCTCAGCCTCAGCCTGCCTCAGCCTCAGCCTGCCTCAGCCTCAGCCTCAGCCTGCTTCAGCCTCAGCCTCAGTCTGCCTTCAGCCTCGGCGTCAGCCTCAGGCTGCCTCAGCCTCAGCCTGCATCAGCCTCAGCCTCAGCCTCAGCCTGCCTCAGCATCAGCCTGCCTCAGCCTCAGCCTCAGCCTGCCTCAGCATTCAAAATGTGGCCCGGGAATGGAGTTCTGGGAACTCGAAAAACACGAAGTGGCCTACAGTTGGCTCCGGGCATTCAAATTCATGCCCAGGAATGGAGTTCTGGGAACTCGAAGACCACGAAGTGGCCTACAGTTGGCTCCGGGCATCCAAAATCTGGCCCGGGAATGGAGTTCTGGGAACTCGAAGACCACGAAGTGGCCTACAGTTGGCTCCGGGCATCCAAAATGTGGCCCGGGAATGGAGTTCTGGGAACTCGAAGAGCACGAAGTGGCCTACAGTTGGCTCCGGGCATTCAAAATGTGGCCCGGGAATGGAGTTCTGGGACTCGAAGAGCACGAAGTGGCCTACAGTTGGCTCCGGGCATTCAAAATGTGGCCCGGGAATGGAGTTCTGGGAAGTCGAAGAGCACGAAGTGTGTGACTGTTGCGTCCGGTTATTCAGAATGTGGCCTGGGAATGGGTTCTGAGAGGTCGACGAGCACGAAGTGTGTGACTGTTGGTGAAAAACGAGCCCGGCACAGGCCCGGCCGGCAACTCCCAACGCCTGCCCGGACCCCCCTGTGGAGTGATCTGTGAGCTCTTTTGAGTCAACTAGAAACCTATCAGTCTTCGCTGTTAGGTAACAAGGCGAACAAGCTTTCAAATTAGACACCTGGGGGCCATTTTCGGACTGCGGGGCCGTCTGAACACGATCCAGGACAAAATTATCCCGGCAAAGCAACCTAACAGCGATGTGTAGGAGCATATCTGGAAGCATTCCCCTTAAGATTCAGATGAGAATCCAGTTGTAGAATTGTGCTGTTCTCGCAGTCGTAGTCGCATTCGCGATGACAGTCGCAGTGGCAACGGCAGTCACAGACACAGCCTCAGCCTCAGCCTGCCTCAGCCTCAGCCTCAGCCTGCCTCAGCCTCAGCCTGCCTCAGCCTCAGCCTCAGCCTGCTTCAGCCTCAGCCTCAGTCTGCCTTCAGCCTCGGCGTCAGCCTCAGGCTGCCTCAGCCTCAGCCTGCATCAGCCTCAGCCTCAGCCTCAGCCTGCCTCAGCATCAGCCTGCCTCAGCCTCAGCCTCAGCCTGCCTCAGCATTCAAAATGTGGCCCGGGAATGGAGTTCTGGGAACTCGAAGAACACGAAGTGGCCTACAGTTGGCTCCGGGCATTCAAAATCATGCCCAGGAATGGAGTTCTGGGAACTCGAAGACCACGAAGTGGCCTACAGTTGGCTCCGGGCATCCAAAATGTGGCCCGGGAATGGAGTTCTGGGAACTCGAAGACCACGAAGTGGCCTACAGTTGGCTCCGGGCATCCAAAATGTGGCCCGGGAATGGAGTTCTGGGAACTCGAAGAGCACGAAGTGGCCTACAGTTGGCTCCGGGCATTCAAAATGTGGCCCGGGAATGGAGTTCTGGGACTCGAAGACCACGAAGTGGCCTACAGTTGGCTCCGGGCATTCAAAATGTGGCCCGGGAATGCTGGGAAGTCGAAGAGCACGAAGTGTTTGACTGTTGCATCCGGTTATTCAGAATGTGGCCTGGGAATGGGGTTCTGAGAGGTCGACGAGCACGAAGTGTGTGACTGTTGGTGAAAAACGAGCCCGGCACAGGCCCGGCCGGCAACTCCCAACGCCTGCCCGGACCCCCCTGTGGAGTGATCTGTGAGCTCTTTTGAGTCAACTAGAAACCTATCAGTCTTCGCTGTTAGGTAAAAATGGCCGTGGAGAAATGGTCGGGACTTCCGGGAACCCCGCGCTTGAAAAAAACATGTCCGAGAACTCCGCGCTGAACAAAAAATATCAGCCAGCACAGACTCCAAATAGACTGGACTTCACGAGGGTGCTCTCTACTCTATTAAATTCGACGGACTCTACTGCACCATCTACCATCTACCCGACTCTACTCTACACCACACTGCTCTACTCTACCCCACTCTACTCCATCCTTCGCTACCAGACCCTGCCCTAACCTATTCTACCCTATCCCTACTCTACTCCCACCCTACTCTAATGGATTCTCCTCGGCTCTTATCACTCTATTATACCCGACTCGACTTTCACATGTACCCAACTCTCACTTGTACCCGACTCTAGTCTACCCTGCGCTGAACTACCCTACTGTGACCGACTCTACCCTACTCTACGCGACTCTGCTCTAAGTTTATTCCTGTTGGGTATTTGCTCCTACTCTACCACTGGATCCGGGTGCGTCCATCCTACTCGTGAAAATTAATGACGAATGGGAGGAGGGAGGAGGAGGAGGAGGAGGAGGAGGAGGAGGAGGAGGAGGAGGAGGAGGAGGAGGAGGAGGAGAGGATATGAGGAGGAGGAGGAGGAGGAGGAGGAGGAGGAGGGGAGGGAGCAGGAGCAGGAGCAGGAACAGGAGCAGGAGGAGCAGGAGAAGCAGGAGGAGAGGAGGAGAAATAGGAGCAGGAGGAGGAGGAGGAGGAGGAGGAGGAGGAGGAGGAGGAGGAGGAGGAGGAGGAGGAGGAGGAGGAGGGAGGAGGAGGGGAGGAGGACGAGGAGGAGGAGGAGGAGGAGGAGGAGGAGGAGGAGGAGGAGGAGGAGGAGGAGGAGGGGAGGAAGGGGAGAGGGAGGAGAGAGAGAGGACGAGGAGGAGGAGGAGGAGGAGGAGGAGGACGACGAGGAGGAGGAGGAGGAGAGGGAGGAGAGGGAGGAGGACGAGGAGGAGGAGGAGGAGGAGGAGGAGGAGGAGGAGGAGGAGGAGGAGGAGGAGGAGGGGGAGGAAGGGGAGAAGGGAACAGAGGAGAGGCCGAGACCTCCGACGCCACGCTGTGCTCGAGCCTCGGGGCACCCGGGACCCCATCGACCCTCTCCCCATGGGCACCGGCCTCTCGCTCCGAGAGTGCTCCCGGGGGCGGCCCCAGGGCCCAAAATTGCTGCATCGTCGAGGCGCCCGGGGATCGCACGCTCCCGAAGGGAAGAACACGAGAGAGAGGTCGGAGGGTCCAGCCTCGCAGAAAACTCGGCGATGGACAAACCTCCCTTCAGTAAACCACCCTTCAGCGAAAACGGCCTAGGACCGAAACCGACGGACCTGGACCCGCAAGAATAACGGCCGTGACGCCCTCTCGCGAACCGAAAACGGCCAAGCAACTAACCGACGTGTCAGGGTAGGAGGTCGACCCACCTCCGACGAACCCTGGGCGCGCCCCCTCGGAGGGGACCCTTTTGTCGTCCTGGCTGGGGGGCCCAAACCCAGCCCAGGGCGCCAGCGGCAGGGACGCGCCCAGGCGAAGTGGCCACATCGTCTTCGGACGGCAGGAGCCAGAGACGAGGCGGGACAGCGTCGGAGAAGCGGAGGAGGAGGAGGAGGAGGAGGAGGAGGAGGAGGAGGAGGAGGAGCAGGAGGAGGAGGAGGAGGAGGAGGAGGAGGAGGAGGAGGAGGAGGAGGAGGAGGAGGGAGGAGGGGACGCACAGCTCCTGCGGGGGTCGCCGGGGGGAATGTTCACGCGCTCGTAGGTCCTCGGCGACGCGCTCCGGAGGGGGCGGAGGAGGGGGAGGCCTTCGAAGACGACAGGGGGGCTTCGTGCAGAGCCCTTTGGGAGACTCGAAGGCATCGGGTCTGAGGTCTTCCTGGATGTTAGGCCCCCGCTTTCGGGCCCTGGTGTTAGGTCGGGCGCGTCCCCCTACAGGCGGATATTGGGGGAGAAACAAGGATGGTCAGACAAGAATTCTGGGAAGGCCTCTTGGCCAGCGGGAGGGTTTCCTGGAACTCCTCCCCGCCTTCGTAGCAGGCGGCGCCCACGACGGGCCTGCGATGCCCCCCCCCCTCGGGGTCCATCCTGGCCAGTTTCCCGAGTCGCGCCCAGCAGTGGCGACGACGAGAATCTACAGACATCCGACGACGTGACTTTCTTCGACACGAGGCCCCCAAATAGGTCTGGATCCCTACCCTGGGGGCAGAGTTTAGCCGCAGGTCAATTGTTGGCGGTCCCGCGGCCCGAAAACGGCCCTCCAGACCCAGATCCGCTCACAACGGGCACCCGAAGACGGTCGAACTCCAGACATCCGACGACGTGACTTGTGTCAACCAGCGGCCCCAAAAAGGTCTGGACCCATTCTCTGGGGGGCTGATTATCGCCACGGATCCATTGTTGTTGGTCCCGCGGCCCGCAAACGGCCCCTGGAGGCCGAAATTCTGGAAAACATGCCCTGGCACGGGAAAAACAATCCGCACTAAGCCTGAGTTCCCAGAACCCAACGAGCTCAAAAACAGCTCGTCGACGCCGGCGTCCTCGACGCCGCCCCGCCCCAGTTCCCAAACAACCGGCGCTTCGATCTGCTACGATTCGTTCGAGGATCGAGGGGGGGATCGAGGAGAAAGGGAGGATCGAAGATCGGAGAGAGCGTGATCTACCGCCGCTTTACTGTGGAAAATTCCCCCCTCTTCCTCCAGAACCTAGGGGTCCCCCCCCCTCCGAAATGAAATGAATCCCCCACCTGCTGGACCACCCCCCTTCCCCTGGCAAAACGCCCCCCTCCCCTAACCCCTCCCCCCCCCGGAAAACCGAGGGGGGTCACTACCAGCTCGAACCCCCCCCCCTCCGGAAAACCGGGGGGGGTCACTACCGGTTCGAACCCCTCCCCCACCCCCCCTCGAAGACCCGGGGGGGGTCACTACTCGTTCGAACCCCCACCCCCGGAAAACCAGGGGGGGTCACTACCGGCTCGAACCCCCCCCACACCCTCGAAAACAGGGGGGGGAAGTCACTACCGGTTCGAACCCCTCCCCTCCCCCCCCTTACGCTCACCGCCAGCAAACGACTCCCGGTCCCTACCACCGTCCGCACCACAACCCCCACTGCTGCCCCCAGCACCACTGTCCTCACCACCACTGTCCCCACTGTTCCCACCACCGTCACCACTGTCCTCACCAGTGCCCCCACTCACTGTCGCACTGTCCCCACTGTCCCCACCACTGTTCCCACCACAGTTCCACTCCCCCACTTTCTCCACATCCCAACCACTGCCCCACTGTCCCCACTGTCCCACTGTCCCCGCCGCTGTCCCACTGAGCTGTCCCTCTGTTCCCACCACTGTCCCCACTGTCACTACCACTGTCCCTACTGTACCTCTGTCCCGTTATCCCACCGCCGTCCTCGCCACCGCCCTCAGCACTGTCGCCACCACCACTGTACCCTCCACTGTCCCACCACTCTCCCCACTTTCCCAACGGTCCCCACCACTGTCCCACTGTCCCCACTGTTCCCACCACTGCCCCACTGTCCCCGCCGCTGTCCCCACTGTGCTGTCCCACCGTCCCCACTGTCCCCATCACTATACTGTCCCACTGTCCCCACTGTCCCCACCACTTCCCCACTGTACTCCTGTCCCGCCACTGTCCCCACCACCGCCTTCACCACTATCCTCACCACTACTGTCCCCACCACTGTCCCACTGTCCCCACCACTGTCCCGCTGTCCCCCCACCACTGTCCCCATCACCACCGTCCCCACCACTGTCCGCACCACTGTCCCACTGTCCCCGCACCACTGTCCCCACCCCCACCGTTCCCACCACTGTCCCAACATCCCCACCATTCTCCAACTGTTCCGAGGAAAGGGCATCGTTTGCCGGCGGCGAGGGTGGGGGGGGGTTCGAACCGGTAGTGACCCTCCCCCAATTTTCGAGGGTTCGAACCGGTAGTGACCCCCCCTGGTTTTCCGGGGGGGGGGGCGGGTCGAACCGGTAGTGACCCCCCCTCAGTTTCCCGCCCGCAGCGGCAGAACACGCCCTGTCCAAGATCGAGGCTCGAGGGAGGAGCAGTGCCCAGAAGAGGGCCGAGCCTCGAGGGAGGCTCGAGGATCGGGAGAGGAGGACCGAGGACCGAGGACCGAGGAGGCGTTCCCCGAGGAGCGGGCGGGGGCCGAGAGGAGAGCCGCGGCCGGCGGAGCGAGGCGTGGGCCGCTGGTGCCGAGCGTCCCGAGATCCCGCGCGCGCGGCGGCACGCGTCGAGGTCGGGAGCTGGGCCCCCAGGGTGGTGCTGCCCCCATCGTGCTCAAGGACCACCTTGGGAAGGTAAAGTATACTCCAGACTTCGTGATAAAGGGGAGGGGGGTCTCGTTTCGGGGGGGGGGGGTCTCTTCCAGGCCGTCTTGGAGGGCCTGGGGGGTCTGGGGACGATGTTTGGGGGGGTTCTCCCACGGGGGAGGTCCGAAATGGCTTGTCTTGGAGGGTCCAGACCCCCTCCCTTTTATTACGAAATCTGGAGTATCCAGTAAGGCGTTTCGCTGGAAGAATGCAGGAGTGCGCCACGTTCATGCGGATCTGCAGCTTTCAAGGTGCCAGCGCGGGCAGGTTGTCTACGGCAGGGCGAGCTGAAACCAAGGTGAAACACGCTGCACTGCGCAAGGGATCCTACAGATACGTCGGGAAAAACAACGGGGCACGTCTCGAAATTATTTCAGGGATGTGCACATCCCTGGAATAAGTTCGAGCACCCAGAAAGGTATCGAAACAGTGTCGAACGAGTACCGCCTCCCAGGGGTGTCGAACGAGTACCGCCTCCCAGGGCCCGACACGCAAAAACCCTCCAATTGCGGTACGTTCCTGCTGCGCGAAATTCTTCCTTGTGGTCAAGGCTGAAGTAGGTTGGAACATCCTAACCCCAAGAGTAGACTGGAGGCCAGTGCACAAGAAACCTTCCGCAAGAAACCCAACCCTGAGACCCCAGGGCGCCCACTGGTTTGTGGCGTGGGAACGTCGCGCTGTCCATAGCAAAACCATCGAAACCCAAGAGACCCAGGGCACCCTGCAGGCCAGCAGGGTGTTCCTTGGCATGGGTCTCCACTGTAGATGCATCCCAAGACAGGTCGGAGGAGCGCACCACAGCGCCGATGTATAGAGTCAACCCGTATAGTTCGAGTAGGTGATCGACTACAGAGTTGATGTACTCCAGAATTCATGTGTTCGTCGCATCTGCGAACAATGCGTAATTATGATGCTCGTAGATCTACGGACATGATACGTATGGTCTTGTACACTCGACGAGAAAATCAAGTTTTGGGTAAATCAATGTTGTAGTCGATCCCCTACTCGAATGATAAAGACGCGCGATAAGGATGCGAGGGCCTTGGAGGGCCATGTCGACAGTTTGCGAGAGGGGTGCGGTCAGCGGGAGCGGCAAGGGATGCGCCGAGGGGGAAGGCTGCAAGGGTAACCGCGGAAAGTCGCTCATCCTTACCATGAGGGTTGACTGTAGGTCGGAGGAGCGTACCGCAGCGCCGATGTATACCCGATGCACCGGCGATGCATCGGTCGGCGGCGCATCGGCGACGTCGGCGCGGAGAACATCGGTCTAGTAATCGGGCCGCATCGCCGACGCATCGCCGATGCGGCGCGATCCTCCGACCCCATCTGCTCCGACCCCATCTGAGAGACCTGGACAAGAGGAGGCCCCCCAAAAGCGGCGTCAGCCTGGGTGCCAGGATCTCTGACGAGGCGCCGTGCGTCTGGGCTTCCCAGACCCCCTGGCGACGTGAGAGAAGTACCGACGGACGGCTACTTTCTATTTTCGGCCTCGGGGCAGGAGGAAACCCCGGCCTCGGGGCAGGAGGAAACCCCGGCCCCAGGGAATGGGTGAAGACCTCTGGGGGGGCGACATTATGGACAAATCGCCACGTCGGGGGTCTGGGTGTGTCTGGGCTTCTGCGCGCCGCCGCACGCGTCTTCGTGGGCCGGATGTTCTGCGGGTTGATCGCAAACACCCAGTTCGCAATGGACTCCTCGGCGCGCCCACGAGGATGGAAAGGGGGTGGGCGGAAGCGGCCGAACTCAACTGGGAGCTCCTCCTCCTCCTCCTCCTCCTCCTCCTCCTCCTCCTCCTTCTCCTCCTCTCCCTCCTCCCTCCTCCCTCCTCCCTCCTCCCTGCTCGCTCCTCCCTTTTCCATCCTCCCTCCTCCCTGCTCCTTCCTCACTTTTCAATCCTCCGTCCTCCCTGCTGCCTCCTCCCTCCTCCCTCGTCCCTCCTTCCACTTTCCTCCTCCCTCCTCCCTCTTTCCTCCTCCCTCCTCCCTCCTGCCT